AAAAAAAAAAAAAAAAAAAAAATCAGCAAAAGCTGGGTGTGGTGGTACACACCTATAAACCCAGCAGTGGGGAGGGAGGTGAGGCAGGAAGATCACTGAGAGTTCCAGGCCATACTCAGCTACACAGCATGCCCAAGGCCAGTGTGCACTACAAAATAAGACCTTGGCAAAACAAAACAAAAAACCCCAGCAAGAACAATAGGATAAGTGGCTAAGTATGTTCAAAGTGACAAGGAGTATTCTGAGGGGAATTAATGGCCATGTGCCTTTTACTGTAATAAAATTTTAAAGAATTTAAACATTCACTGTATTTTTCCATTACACTTCACATAGTACGCAAAGTCCATGCCTCATGACCCTTCCAGGAATGTGAACCACCAACTCCCTACACAGATCCCAAAGCCAATCAGGTTGACACTTCACCCTAAGCACCACATAGTTATTTTAGAAGAAATGCTTCTGTGCTGGGCGTCGTAGCACATGTCTATAATCCCAGCACTGGGGAGGTTGAGGCAGGAGGATCGCTATGAGTTCCAGGCCATCCTGGGCTACATAGTGAGTTCCAGGCCAGCCTGAATTACATAGCAAGACCCTGTCTCAAAAACAGACAGACAGATGACAAACAACAAAAAAAACAAGAAGATATGCTTCTACTTTAGATATCTATTCTTTTGCAAGAAAAAAAAAATCTCCCAAAAAATTGGGATGGAGTTGTTTTGGATTTTGGCATTACCAAATATATCCAATGAATTAATTAATCACTGGGAATTCTGGACTTTCATCACTCAATTATGGATAACTTTAAGGAATCCTAAGAAATATACTGAGGGGCTGAGGATGTAGCTCAGTGGCGCAATGCCTGCCTGGCAAACTCCAGGCCCTGAGTTCAATTCCCAGTACCAAAATGAAACAAAACAAAGAGAAATATGCTGAGAACAATTCAGATGAGTCCAAGTTTTCCTGCTAGCATTTAATTTACGACACTGTTTGCATCACTCAGCAGCCCAGGGACTCGTCTCAGATTTCTCACAGTGAAGAGCAGCTATGAGACACAGAGCTAACCCAGTAACGAAGTTGCTTTCAAAAAAGGTTATCCTCTTATTACCTTTGCTGCCTGGTGCGCGCGCTATGTTGTTTCTCCTTTGCCAGGCCTGTTTGTCCTCCTTGTCTTGGAGTCAGCTGATGATGGACTGAAACTTCTACGAACTCTAAGCCAAATAAACCCCTTCCCCTCTTAAAAAAAGAGAGAGAGAGATTACAGTGGAGTATTTGTTGCCTTATGTTTACAGAAAGTGTACAAACAGGGTGTTTATCTACAACCCCAAGAAAGGAGACTGGAAGGACTTGGCACCGATGAAAACCCCGCGGTCCATGTTTGGCGTGGCTGTGCACAAAGGCAAGATTGTGATCGCAGGAGGAGTCACTGAAGACGGGCTCTCCGCTTCAGTGGAAGCTTTTGACCTCAAAACCAATAAGTGAGTCGTCTTGGGGCAGCATAGAATTGCTGTACTTTGTAATTGCCACATTTGGAGCAAAACCGAGTTTTCTAATTAGGACACGGGGAGGAGAAGGCAAAGCAGTGCAAAGAGGAAGTATTTCCACTGGGGATTCTTCGCTGTCACGGCCAGTAAAACTGACATTGGGTGTGCTGTGTGCATTGGTAATTTGGAACATATGACTTCTAAGTTACCTGGTTTACTTGTTATCAACTTTGTGAGTACACGTCTGCAACAGAGTTATTTGATTTCAAGTATGTAGTTTCTTTAAGGATGATGAGATCTTTACCTGTTAATGACTGACATTCATGATATGAGTGCTTCATAAGCTTCATTGCTTTGTGCTCTTTATAATTCTCTTAGAATTTTTCTTCTCATTTTCTAGAATTTTTCCTCTTCAGTACTGGGAATCGAGCTCAGGGCCTTATGCTTGCCAGGCAGGTGCAGATAATTTTTATTTTGTGATTTAAGTAATGTGAAAAGATACTTGACAGATATTCTTTATATAAAATTACTCTTATACATTCTTGAGTTCATACATCTTAATAAGTACAGAATTTTAAACTCCTACTTTAGCGATGAAGAAAATATAAAGCACTATTATGAGATTTTTTTTTTAGGTACCATGTATGTATGCTTCCTTACAAAATAGACTTTGATACCTAAAAATCACCCCCCAAAAAGAAAACTTTTATAGAACAAGACTTAAGCAATCAGCTGGGTGTGATTACAAACTCCTATAATACCATTGCTCTAAGAGGCTGAGACAGGAGGATTGCAAGTTTAAGCATAGTCTGAACAACTTAGTGAGAGCATGTCTCAAAATAAAACATAAAAAGGGCTGGAGATGTATCTCAATGTGAATAGCCTGGATTCGATCCCTAATACTACAAAAGAAAGACCAAGGGCTGGGGACGTAGCTCAGCGGTGCAGTACCTGCCTGGCAAGTGTGAGGCCCTGAGTTTGATTCCTAGTACCAAAAAGAAGAAAAGACTTACCCAATTATTAAATATCATATTCTTTCAGACTCTCTAATATGAACAAACATTCATGGCATATGAAGTTAAAAGAATCAGCACACAAAACTGTAATTTCTCTGTATTCTTGATTTTGTTCATATCTGTGGATGGTTAAATATTTTTTTAAACAACAAAATAAGACCAGAATGTCGTTTACGATCATCTCTGAACTTCTACTACCTGAATTCTTACATTATAGTTTGTTCTAATTGTTCAGTTAAGTACACTTGGCATTTCTTCACATTTTCCATTGACTGGATTTTTCAATACTTACCTAGATGGGAAGTCATGACTGAGTTTCCCCAAGAGCGCAGCTCCATCAGTCTGGTCAGCCTGGCTGGGTCCCTGTACGCCATCGGCGGCTTTGCTATGATTCAGCTGGAATCCAAAGAGTTTGCGCCCACCGAAGTCAATGACATATGGAAGTAAGTTCCCCTCGCTCCAGTTTTTAGAGCCACGTAGTAAAGCAGAAGGCCGACAACCAAAACATAATTTTGTAGTAAATAATAAGCTGGACTTTCCCACCGTGCGAGCTACTTCTTGGCGGCACACTGAGCACTGGAAGCCTGACTGAACCATGACACAAGCCGCTACTGATCAAGTCCCGCTTCTTGTTAGCCATGAGCTTGGGAAAGACTTCATCTCCGCGCGTTTCTTAATCTGCAAGGTGCGGGCTGGACTGGTGTGCCTTTGAGTTCCCTTCCAGCCCTGAAAGTATCATACTCCAGGCATCCAGGGGTGCAAAGGCTCCTACCTTCCACCAGAGAGAACTTTATTTCCTAAGAAAACACATCTCTGAAGAAACACTTAACTTCTTGCGCTTTCCATGGATGGATTCATTAAATCTATTTTGATCCAATTTAAATTGTCTTCCAATTGTTTGAGGATTTGATTAACAAAGGCTTTTTTTAAAAAAGAAAAATGTGAAAATAGCAATCCATTTTATCTCCTGAGTGATTCTCCCAAGTGTGACACTTACAAGTGTTACTACTGAACTATTTTAATCAAATGAATGGGCTTTTTTTTTGGCGGGGGGGGGCGCACATTACCATAGTGCATCCAGGAAGTCTCAGGACAGAAGCTTGCTATGGAGTCGCTTAGTTCTGATAGGGCACATGCTCTTCAAAGGCCACTAATTGATTTTTTTTTTTTTCTCCATCAGGTATGAAGACGATAAAAAAGAATGGGCGGGGATGTTGAAGGAGATACGCTATGCTTCAGGAGCTAGTTGCCTAGCAACGCGTTTAAATCTTTTCAAACTGTCTAAACTGTAAACAAGGTGACAAAGCAGTAAATTGAGATGCGGTTTGTTTGGATAATAGAGCTTTAATTTATTTTGTTTTTAAAGGGCCTGTACAGAGATTCATGTAGAAATTATTCAGTAAGTTATTGTCTAAGAGTTGAACAGAGAATCAGAACCTTCTAGACATTTGTCTCTTCAGTGTAATGATCAGAGTTCAAAACCATTTTCTAATGAGAAATTAAAGACTCAGTCGAACAAATTATCTCTTTTGTCTCAATCCATGGAATATAAAGTAACATCCTAAATTTGAGTTGTTTACTAAGCCTTTTATTGCTAGGGTAGCTCCTTTATACTTGCTTTCTGTTACAAATTAAACACATATATCCACTTTAAAAATTTTTTTAAATATCAAAAATCTTTGCACATACCTCAAGTTATGTCAGAAAACGTGTACATTATATTAGAGACTACTGCCAGGCATGGTGGCACACCTGTAATTCCAGCACCAGGAGGCTGAGGCAGGAGGATCATCACAAGTTTGAGGCCAGCCCAAGCTACATAGTGAGTTCAAGAACAACCTGAACTGTATAGTGAGACTCTGTCTCACAAAAAAAGATGACATGCCATGAAAAGATATTTGGAAATGCTATTTAAAGAGATATTTGGAAGCCAGGGATTTGGCTCAGTGGTTACACCACCTGCCTCGAAAGTTCAAGGGCCCAAGTTTGATCCCTGGTACCAAAAAAACAACCAAAACAAAACAAAACAAAAAACCAGACAGTTGGAAATGCTATTTCTCACGTACCACAACTCTCTTACTTTTCTATTACTAGGTTGCTTTATTGAAAGAAGATATATACATATATATTCCTAAATCTCTGTTTGATGAATTTTCTGCCCAAATACTGGGATTCTTATGAACAAAACCATTTTTTCATTAAGATATAATTCACATATTGGTGTGATCATCAGCAGTAATTCTAGAAGATTATATTTATTCCCCAAAGAAACCCTGTAAAAAGTATTATTTTTACAGCTTAATGTCATATCTACATACATCAGCACCCTCTCCCTGAAAGTGTCCTCTGTTCTGTTTTTATAATAAGCAGTTCTTCTTTTCTCTCCCAGGAGTGCATTTCTGGGCAAAATTTCCCCAGCCCTTGCCATTTAAGTCTGTCTTATAAGCAGCAGCCCCTCCAAACCTCTCTCTAAGTAGCAGTTTATCTGCTGAAGAACCTGTTGGGCTTCCACCCTTTGGGATTTACTGACTGTGTACTCATAGTATAGTGTGAATCAGTATTTTTTTTCTTTTCTTTCTTTTTAAAAATTTTTCTTTCTTTCCTTTTCCCGTTTTTTAGACATGGTCACTCTATGTAGTTCAGGCTGTCTTTGAACTCAATATGTAGCCTGTGGGCTGGCCTTGAACCCACAGCGATTCTCCTGCCTCAGCCTCCCAAGTTCTGGGATTACCGATGTGCACCATGATGCTCAGCTCAGCTCAGTATTTTTCAATACAGAAAAGCAGTCAAGATTGTACTTAAGAGATCCAAAATAAAACTAATTTTTGTTAAACAAATTTCCATATTAATGATAGAGAAAATAAAGCTGTGCAAACATATATCTCTTTTGTTTGGTTTTGGTTGCTTCTATTTCATTTTTGTATTGGGAATTAATTCCAGGGTCTTCACACGGAATCACATCCACAACCCTTTTTTTACTTTTTATTTCTGAGACAGAGTCTCACTGAGTTGCCCAAGCTGGGGTCATACTTGTAACTGGCCTGCTTCAGCCTTCCAAAGAAGGACTGGGATTACAAGCATTCACTCTCTCACCTGGTTTATATCTCTCTTGTGCCCATGCGCCACCGTGTGTGTGTGTGTGTGTGTGTGTGTGTGTGTGTGTGGTGTGTGTGTGTGCCAGGGCTCAAACTCAGGCCCTTGCACTTGCGAGGCAGGTGGCAGAACCACTGAGCCAAATCCCCAGTCCAGCATACTTTTTAAAAATTTTCTTTGTACGTTTTATGTATACATGATCACATCCGTCACAGGGAATTTGTGTCTGTACATGATTTATCTCGCTTACCTTTTTCTCATCCCTCTTCTCTCCCTTCAACTCTTCCCCTCATATAAAAGCTGTTTCCATTTCCCCCTTATTCTCTTCTTTTTCCTTCCTCCCTTCTTTCCCCCTCTGCCACCCTACTTTCCCTTCCCATTTGAACATTTTCTTCCTATTTCCCAATATCTCTTATGTATTTTGTGCTTATCTGCACCTTCAGTTTCTCACACCAGAGAAACCATGTGATGTTTGAACATGCGTGTCTGATTTATTTCATTTAAGAGTATGGTCTCAAGGTCCGTCCATTTAGCTGGAACTGTCTCAAACTTACCCTGTTTATGGCACAGTATCCTCCATTGTATCTATATAGAAAAAAACCACATCTTTATCTTTATCCGTTCATTGGTTTCTGGGCATTGGGCTGTTTCCAAGATTTAGCTATTACAAACTGTGCCACTATAAACATGAGTGTGCTGCCAGGTGTGGTGGCAGAGTCCTGTAGTCCCAACACTTGAGAGGCTGAGGCAAGAGGAACTCCATGAATTCAAGGCCAGCCTAGGAGAGCTAGTGAATACAGAGCTAGCCTGAACTACAAAATTAGGCCCTGCCTCAAACAAACAAACAAAACATGAGTGTGCATATATCACTGTGGTATGATGCTTTTAATTCTTTCAGGAAGATACCAAGAGGGAGAATATCGGGAGCAAATGGAATCTCTAGTTTATTTGTTTGTTTGTTTGGGTTTTTGAGACAGAGTCTCACTATGTAGTTAATTTTGTTTGTTTGTTTTGAGACAGGGTCTCACTAGGTAGTTGAGACTGACCTGGAACTATGTAGCCCAGGCTGGTCTGGAACTCAAGATCCTCCTGCCTCAGCCTCCCAAGTGCTGGGATTACAGGCGTACGCCACCACGCCCGGCCTAGTTTCAGTTTTTTGAGGAATCTTCACACTGATTTAATGAAGACCACCCTAAGCCAGCTACAAATTCATAAATTGGCTTTTCATATTAAAAGTCCGAGTCGGCCTATTAGCCCACAATGTCTTGCCAGCAGTTGAAGAGCCAGCAGTTGGTGTGTGGGAAAGGAACAACTTCCCAGAACACTGGTCACAGCAGAGGTCTCAGTGATCCGTGGTGCTGTGACATCTTGGATGGCAAGACAATAGTGCAGCTAAGGGCAGCGTGACTCATACAGAAAACTCTTATAGAGGCAAAAATCAGTCCACAGGAAGAAACAAATTTCTCATTAATCAATGATCTGTTCCTACTAGAATATCTTGTTCCCTTGTTGCTAGGAGCCTGCTCACGTCGGTGCTCTCCACTTCTCTGTTCCCTGCACTGCCCCTTACTCCTTCTAGAAGCTACATGAGCGATAAATAGCGGCAAGCTCCAGGAGACAGCGACTTAGCTAGATAGGAGCTTTGGCCATCCTGTCCCCCCTTTTATACATTAAAATCTTGTCTTTTTAAAAAATCCTACCACCATACCCTTGGTCAGGTGATTGGGAATTCACACAGCTTTCAATGCTGATTTCCACAGTGGTTGCACAGTCTGCACTCCCACCAACGGTGGAGAAGGGTTCCTTCTCCCTGTAGTCCTGCCAGCATTTGTTATTGCTTGATTTCTTGATAGCAGCCATTCTTTCTGGAGTGAAACAGAATCTCAGCAGTGTTTTAATTTCCATCTCTCGAATAACAAGTGATGTTGAACATTTTTTCATATACTTATTTGCCGTTTCTACTTCTTCATCTGAGAAATGTTTGTTCATTTCAGATGCCTATTTTTTGATTGGGTCTTTAAATTTGGGGGGGTCTAGGTTTTGTTTGTATTTTTTTTAGTTCTTTATATATGCTAGATATCAATCCTTTGTCTGAGGAACAACTGGAAAAAAATTTCCTATACTACAGGTTGTCTCTTCACTCTGTTGGTTGTTTCTTTCGCTGTGCAAAAAGCTTGTTAATGAGATGAGATTCTAATTCTTTGTGATAGTTCCTGTGCAACTGAGGTTTTGTTCATAAAGTCTTTGCCTATACCAATGTCTTTGACAGTTCTACCTATTCTATCTTCCAGCAGTCTTTTTTTGTAAAGCTGATGATTCACTTTTTTGTTTTAAATTTTATCTTAGCCAGAGGCTGAGTAGCAATGTGTGCGTTTTAGGTTTCTTTTCTGGTACCGGGGATTGAACTCAGGTCCTTGTTTGCCAGGCAGGCCACTGAACCGCTGAGCTAAATCCCCAGCCCTGTGTTTTAGTATTTAGATCTTTGATCTATTTCAATTTTAGTTTAATGTGTGGTAAGAGATATGGACCTACTTTTAATCATTGGAATGCAGAAAGCCAGATTTTTCAGTGGTTGGGCACATGTGCGTGTGTATTTGTGCTGGTGATTGAACTCAGGACCTTGTGCTTGAGAGGCAGGCAGCGGAACCACTGAGCTAAATCCCTGGTCACTTCAGCGTTATTTATTAAGAAAGCCATCTTTCTTCCAGTGAAGGTGTTTGGCCCATTTGTCAAAGATGAGGTAGCTGAGTGCATTTGGAATTGTTTCTGCATCTTTTTTTTTTTTCTCATTGAATTTATTGGTACATTTTAGGTATACAGTACAGTTACATTCATCATTGGGATCTTGTACCTTTTACATAACAGGTCTTGGTTCTCATTTTTTCCCCTTACCCGTGCCCTCCCTTCCCTATTTACAAATACTTTTATTTCCATTTTTTCATTTTCTCATGTTTTTTTTTTCCATTATTACCTATATTGGTTCTTCCTACCCAAGGACAAGAGATATCTTTCCATTTTCTGATATCCTCTTTATCTTCTTTTTCAAAGTACTGTAGTTTCTCAATGTAAAAGTCTTTTTTACTTCCTTTGTTGGATTACTCCTCCCCCCTTTTTTTTCGGTCGCTACTGTGAAAGGTATGGTTTCTCTACTTTCAGTGAGTTTGTTACTTGTGTACAGGAATGCCATTGATTTTTTACTGTTGACTTTGTTTAGCTACAATACTGAATGTGGTTAAAATTTATCAGTCTTGATGGACTTCTTGGGATCTTTGATGTAGAGTATGATGTCACCCACAAAAAGAGATAATTTCTTCCTTTCTCATCCTTGTTCCTTTTCTTTCTCTTGTCAAATTGCTCTGGCTAATATTTCCAGAACTAAATTGAATAAGTGGTGTTAGTGGACATCCTTGTCTCATTTCTGACTTTAGAGTGAAAGCTTTCAGTATTGACCATTAAGCTTTTACCATTTAGCATGATATTGGCTATTGGTGTGTCCTAAATGACTTTTTATCAGATTGAGATCAAGACCATCTATTCCAATATTCTGTAGGGTTTTTATCATGAATGGGTGCTGCATTTTGCCAAATGCTTTTTCTGTATATTTTGAGATGATTGTCTTTTGTCCTTGGCTCTGCTGACATGATGTACTGCATTTATTGATTTGCATATGGTGAACCATCACTGCATCCCTGGGATGAATCCTACTTGGCCATGGTGTATAATCATCTTGATGATTTGGTGCATTGTTGCCAGTATCTTATTGAGGATTTTTGCATCTACGTTCATTAGGGAGATTGGCCTGTAATTCTCTTTTTTGGTTGGATTCTTCTCTGGTTTTGGTATTAGGATAATGCATGCTTCTAAGAATGAGTTTGGGTGTATTGCTTTCCATTCAATTTTATGAGTTAGAGAAGTGACATTAGATCGTCTCTAAATTTCTTGAATTCAGCATTGAATCCATTAAGACCTGGGCTTTTATTTGTTGGCAGGTTTTTAATTACAGCTCCAATTTCATAGGCTGATATTGGGTTATTTAGAATTTTTATATCTTCTTGATTTAGCTTTGGTAATACATACACATCTAGGAATCTATTTCTTCTGTGTTTTCCATTTTATTAGAATACAAGTTCTTGAAGTAGGTATCGATATTCTTCTGGGTTTCTGCAGGGTGTTTTGGTTTCATCCTTTTCATTCCTTAATTGCATGGATTTCAGTCCTTTCTTTCAGTGAGATTAGCTAAGGGTTTATCAATTTTATTTAGCCTTTCATAGAACTCTTTCATTCTTTTTATTGCAATAATTTCTGCTCTATTTGTTTAACCTTTTCAGATTTTTTTTGTTACCCCCCAACCCCTCTGCTCTGGTCTTTTTTTGTTTGTTTTTGAGACAGGGTCTCACTATGTAGTTGAGACTGACCTGGAACTCACTATGTAGCCCAGGCTGGTCTCGAACTCACAGTGATCTGCCTCAGCATCCCCATGCTGGGATTACAGGCATGCACCACTACACCCAGCTTCTGCTCTGGTCTTATAATTTCCCCTTTCCTACAAGCTTTGGTCTTGCTCATTGTGTGTGTGTGTGTGTGTGTGTGTGTGTGTGTGTGTGTGTGTGTGATGGTTGTTTTTAGAAGCTTGAGGTTCAACTTTAGGTGATTTGGCTTGTTTCTCTGACATGATAATTCACTGCTATAAATTTCCCTCATAGGACTGCTTTCATTGTATCCTAGAAGTGCTGTTTTTTTGTTTGCTTGCTTGTTTTTGGTTTTTTGAGGCAGGGTCTCACTATGTAGTTGAGACTGACCTAGAACTCACTATGTAGCCTAGGCTGGTCTCGAACTCACAGCAATCCTCCTGCCTCAGCCTCCCAAGTGCTAGGAATAGAGGTGTGCACTACCACACCCAGCTAGTGCTAGTATGTTGTACTGGCATTATTGTTTAACTGGAGAAACTGTCTAATTTCTTCTTTAATTTAATCTGTGACCTGCTGACTTTTCAGGAGGGGGTTATTTAATTTCCATGTGTTTATGCTTTTTTATGGTTTCTTTTGCTAGATTTGATTTCCAATTTCATTGCACTATGGTCTGATAATATGTATGTGATAATTTCAATTGCTTTGCATTTACTTAAGCATATTCTCTGAACTAGAGCTGGGATTTAGCTCAGTGGCACCACACCTGCCTCACAAGTGCAAGCCCTGAGTTTGATTCCCAGTACCACAAATACAATAAATAAAAATTTAAATTAAAAAGTAAAGAAAAAAAGAAAAAAAAAGTCCACTTCAGGCCTATCTCTGCTATCACTGATAGAGGGGGCAGACAGAGCCCAGATCTATATCGACTGATCGCAGTAACCCAGTAGAACTGTGGTGGGAGGTAATCTCAGCAAACCTGGGCCTTAGTTCTACTGATATTCAGGGGGTTGCTTCTGGTTTCTAGCTGTAAGGCTGAGACCCAACTTGTTCACTTGGCAACACTCTAGGAATCTCCTGGGAGCTTGAACTTGGTTCCTTGACATCCTGCCAGCTTGAACTTAGCTGCACCACTCTGACACTGAGAGCCACTACATGGAGCCACCCATAGCCACTCTGAGTTTTGAGCTCGGCCCCTCTCCATGATGGCTACCAGCTCATCACCCTCTCCTAGGGGTTGTCTCAACCCAAATAACTCACCAGTCCAGTGGTCACTGTTCCATTGCACTGGTGCATTTCTCTATGGAGGCCTTTGTGGTCACCTGTAGTCACTGTACATCTGAAGGTTCAAGATACCCCTCCCACATCATGAGCCAGGGCTCAGAGAGAAAGTGCTGCTTGGCACCTTCCTCTTCTGAGTTGTGGTCCCTCTTGTTACTCTTCCTGTGGGCTCCACAATTCTTGTTTCAGATCCTTGCTGGGTCCCAGGAACCCACTTCCCTCCTCCTCCTCTTCCTCATGCTACTATATTCCAGGGTCTGGATTCCAAATCTCAGACAGGCTATTTCTCTATAGGTCACCATTCCACCATCTTTCCAGAAGTAAATGTATCATTCTCAAAGGACTGGGATTGTGTAATACAGTCGATCCTTAATAACTATGGTATTGTAAATAAGTTACAAAACAGACAGAAAATCATTATTCCCTTAGCACACATAAGATCTACCCAGATCTAGAACAGTTGAAAGGCCAGGGATTTAGCTCAGTGGCACAGCACCTGCCTGGCAAGAGCGAGGTCCCAAGTTTGATCCCTGATACCAACAAAACAAAAAGAACAGCCCACTCAAGCTACCATCCCATTTCTTTGCTTCCATGTAGGAAACTCATGTCTCTTTCCATTTGCTTTTCAGTGAAGCTGTTACACCCACCACTCTACCAAAACTACTTTTCAGGACAACTGATAATTTTTATATACTAAAACTTAAGTTTCACACTGTTCAGGGTCAAATCCTGGGCCTGTTTTGTTTACAATGTGGGTAAAATATATAATGAACCGATAAATTTACAAGCAGAGTAGTTCAGTTTTTATTGACCCAGTACTAACAAGGGTATATGGATGGCATCATTAACCTTGGTCAATAATCTGTAGTCTTAAGTCTTTTTTTTTTCCTCTTCCTTTTTCATTCTTTTCTCCTCCCTTCTTCTTCCTTTCACATTAATTTTAATGGGTATCTCCAGTTCTCACATTGCCCAACCCACCAACAAACCTAAAAGAAATGCTCACATTCTGCTCCTTGAAATGCTTCATCCTTGGCTCCTAGGTAACACCCCCTACTCTGCTTCTCCTCCTACCTCACTGGGCAGTCCTGCTTGGTCTCTTTTGCTGCTTCCTTTTCCTGGCCTCTTAATGCTGGAGCTCAGCCTTCAGATCTCTTCTAATCATATCTTAGGAATATCATCCGGTCTCATGGCACTAAATACCAATGACAACTTCCAAATTTATTTAATTTGGGGAGGGTCTTTTTTTTTTTTTTTTTTTTTGAGACACGGTGTCATTATGTAGTTCAGGCTGGCCTTAAATTCACTATGTAGCCCAAACTGGCATTGAACTCATGGCACTCCTCCTGCCTCAGCCTCCCAAATACTGGAATTACAAGTGTGCCACCATGACCAGCTCAACTTTCAAATTTATATCTGGAGCTTGGACCTCTCTTCTGTCTCCAAATTCATTTATCAAATTGATATCTCCAATTAAATATTTAAGAAACATCTCAAACTCAACACAAATCAAACACATTCATGACCTGCCCCAACACTAACCTCCATTTTGAATAAACTTTCCCATCTCAGTGATTGGCAATGATGCCTTTTTCAGTGCTAAGGACAAAAACTCAGGATTATCCTTTATTCTTGTTTCTCTTGGACCTCATTCTATCAGTGAGTGAATTCTGTTGCCTTTCCTTTCCAAACACATTTAAAAATTTTGAATGCTTACCTACACTGCTACTACTCTCTCCAACTGCCATCCATTTCTTGTCTGTATTCGTGAAATGTTCTTTAAATGGCCACCATCTTTTTCTTCCTGCTTTCACATTTGCTACCTACAGATTCTCACCTTGGCGGGACAGCCAGAGTGATGCAGATATGAGGTACAAGGTGAGTTCTTTTTCTTAGTTTGGTTTTTTAAGTTTTTTGAGACAGGGTCTTGCCATGTGGTCCAGGTTGGCCTCAAACTCACAGCAGTCCTCATGCCTCTGCCTCCCAAGTGCTAGGATTGCAGGTGTGTGCTACCATGCCAACCAAAATTATGAGTTATTATTCTTTGCTTCAAGTAAGTGCTCCAATGGCTTCTCATGTCCCTCAGAATAGCCATAACTCTGTTATTTCTTTTTCCTTTTCTTTTTGTGAGACAGAGTCTCAGTGTGTAGTCCAGGCTGGCCTTGAACTCACTATGTGCTCTAGGCTGGCCTGCCTGGTACGTGCAGCCATCCTCCTCCCGAGTGCTGGGATCACAGGTGTGCACCACATCTGGCTGTACCTTTTCTTGTTCTCTCACTGTGCCTCCCATTTGTTCTTTTTTATTTTTCTTTTTTTAGACAGAGATTTGCTGTGCAGTCCAGGCTGGTCTTGGACTCACAATATAGCCCAGGCTAACCTTGAACTCATGGCAATCCACATGCCTCAGCCTCCCAAGTGCTGGGATCATAGGCATGCACTACACTCGGTAACTGCTTTTTCTGCCCCTCACAATACATCCCTTATTATTCTCAAACATATCAGGCAGCTTTCCCCTTCAGGATGGTTATGCTTATTGTTTTTGTTTTGTTTTGTTTTGTTTTTAAGAGTAGGAAAATTTATTGGGGAATAGGAATAGGGAATAAGAATGGGGAATAGGGATAGCTCCTGAGAGACAGGAGGGGTCCTGAATGGTGCCCCACAACTGTTTTTAATTGAGTCAGGACCATACAAATGTGGTGCACTGTAAGAACTCACTAAAAAAAAAAAAAAACAATCATGATTTCCTTTCTCCAAATATACGTTGTCTCAGGTAGTCCAGACGAGCATCGTTGGTTGACAGTGCCATAGAGTTCCACTCAAAGTAAGGAATCTGTAGGTAAACAAGGTAGCTGCGGTGAAAGTGTCAAAGCAGTGACCAAAAACATCAGGGAAGACTCAGCAATAGGACTGAGTGAAGCTGTGGGAGCTGGTGAAATTCGTTTACACAAGCATGGCCTGGGTCCTGCCGGGAAGCTGAGTGACTCTTCCTCGCACTGCCCAAGAGACTTTTCCTAATCCGAACTCTTCTCTCCCCCGGTTCCTACAGTAGCGCCACAGACGCCTGCGTGTGTGTACATTCACATTATTAGCTGTTTCCTCCTACCTCTGTACCTCTCCACAGTACCTCACTTCATATGCAAATCTGCAGATCCTCTAAAGACAATAAAAGTAATTTTTACATCTTATTCTACTAAAAACATGCTCTGTGTCAGAGAAAGCCTCATATATCTTTTTTAGTATAAAAAAGTAATTCTGGAATGTTCATGTTAAAAGGAAATGCCTTTATAGCCAATGTCTCTGTGCCATTTATTTATTTATTAATTTATTTAATTTTTTGAGGCAAGGTCTTGTTATATAGTTAAGGCTGGGCTTGAAATCACTATGGAACACAAACTGGCCTTCAACTATCAGTGATCCTCCTGCCTTATCTTTCAGAGTGCTGGGATTATAAGCATGCACAACCACACCTGGCCTCTGTGCTGTTTAGAGGCTGAATTACATAAGTCTTTCTTACCTGGATTACACGGTAGCCCAAAATTTCTAAATGTCGTGTTTTCATAGCAGATTTCCCTTTTAAGTGAGGAATATTTCTACAAAAAGCTTTTAAGTCCAAAAATTCGAATGCAATCCTACATAAGAAAAAAAAAATACTATATTTCCAAAATTAAGGTGAGAAATTGAATAATTATAAGCCTTTCTGGAACATGAATGTATAAGCTAATGAAAACCAAACGAATATAAATAAGTATACCATGCTCTTTCTCTTAAGAAATTGTAACTGATAACAATTAAATCTATTTGTTTAAACTAAATTATAGTAAAATAGCTCCCTGCTTTCATCCATTTGTTTCTTTGTCCAGTGTATACTTATTTTTTCCAGTTTATACTTGTTATATGCCCAGTATCCAGAAGGAGCTCACACATGAAGATAAAGCAATGTGGCTTAGTCTAACAGAGCACACAGGAGGAAACTCAGCAGAGGAAGTGGCTAAGTGCTCTGAGGACAGCAGAAGGGCATGGAAATACCAAAGGAGAAAACACCATTCACTCCAGCCAATGCACCCAGGTCAGCACCTTGGATAGAGACTGCCGGGCTTTGGTCAGGTAAAGTCGGACTATAATATGAATGCACAAGGAAGGCAAAGGTTCATGGGGAAACTTCGTGAATTACATGAGAAGCAGATGCTACAATTGGTACTTTTTTTTCCTGGTACCAGGGATTGAACTCAGGACTTTGTGCTTTCAAGGCAGGTGCACTGCCACTGAGCTAAATCCCCAGCTGCTACTACAATTGATCGTTTTTAAGAGAGGTCATAACATAACGCCAAACTTAATATTTAGATAAAATCTGAAATTAAGAAGTACATTACCTTTCAGCTCCAGGTGGAAGACTTGATCCAACTATTTGGATATCTGATTCCCAGAACATTCTTGATGGTTTTCCTGAAGTTATATTATGGCTTCCATAAGGAAGAGGTTTCTTTCTTTTATCCAAGATACATTCAAAATCTTAAGGAAGTACAGGAATCAACTTTATAATTAGATAACTTCTTACAGGCAAAAATATATTTTTAATACAGAAACATATGGATGGATGTATATATACACACATACTAATAAAAGAAGGACAAAGCTCCGTAATTATCCAATTTGTTTTATAAGATCTGGTCCAAAGGTACCTCACTTTGAAAATGATCAAAATCAATCAATAATTATGAATAAACAGCACAGGGCTGCATGTAGCACTATGCTAGGTCAAGTTATATTAAAGAGTTTTAGAACTCTTAAGAGTTCTAAGTTTAGAACTAAATTCCTGGTTTAGAACTCTTTAGAACATATTAAACAGTTTTAGAGTTAAAGTTTCTTGGTCACCTTTGGACAAAGCCAGAACAACTCATCCAAAAACAAGTAAGATTAACTAGTGTTTGTGGAGCTGCCATCCCAGCTCTGGACTCTGCGTGTAGGAGGGAAAGAAATAAATGTGTAACTTAAGTACCTATTTGTGGATTTTTGTTACTCCTAGCTAAATCCAATCTTGACTAATACAAAAGCAAATAAAAGGAGAGGATGTATGTTGTACAAAATGAAAGGACTAGTGATTACCTGGTTCACCTTCTGCCCTGCCCAGTGCAGCACTCTCTCACACATACACACAAACACATGCGTGTGTGCATGGACACACCATCTGATCAGCCTCTGTCCTACTGTTATTTTTCCACAAAGCAGCCTATAACTCTCTTCATTATGCATTAAAATCTGCTCCCATTCTTCTTGCTTTTGAGACAGGTTCTCACTATGTAGCCCAGGCTGGCCTTGAATTTGTGGCAATCCTTCTGCCTCAGCTTGCCAAGTGCTGGAGTTTCAGTTGCTGAGATTAAGTGTTACTATTTTTTCATCCTTGAAACAGAAATGCTGTGCCTAGTTCTTCTTCCACATACCAATCCTTCAACCATCTTTTCTTTGTTTGGTTTTGTTGTTGTTGTTTGTTTGTTTGTTTTGGTACCGGAGATCGAACTCAGGTCCTTGTGCTTGCGAGGCAGGCGGTGGTACCACTGAGCTAAATCCCCGATGGTCTTGGATTTTTTTATTATACTGTGGTGCTTGGGCAAACATTTTAAAACAGTTATGTTGCCCATAAGACTTATTTTTCAGACTAATCAACACTAGATTTTTTTTTTCCAAATAAAATGCATTGAGCACTTACTACGCTTCCTTGCTGAATGCTTTGCATTCAATGCTTTACTTAATCCTACTAAACAGGCCTATTACCCTTATTTTACAGATACAGAACTAACAAGTAGCATATGCCTGTAATCTCAGCTTCTCCAGAGGCTGAGGCCAGAGTATCACAAGACTGAGACCACCTTGGGCAACTTGGTGAGATCCTGTCTCCAGTAATATTTTAAAAGGCCTGGGGGTGTAGCTTAGAGGTACAGCACACTTGCCTAGCAGGCACAAGGCCTTTGGGTTTGATTCCCCCATTCTGCCACAAAATAAAACTTAATAAATAAAAGTTGCTCAAGGATGGAAATCCATGCCATCCCAGTCCTTTCTAGTTCTAAGACTTGATTTCTAGCTCCTTCCCCATCTGTCCTTTGTTTCTAGACCCTATTTGTCACTGTCTCTCATAAAGGGTATCACGCCGAAAGGGAAACAAACTGAAGGACAAAACACAGTGACAGTGGGTTTGTTATTATTAGTATAGTAAAAATAGTATTTGATTGTTGGCAACCATTACATTAAGCAGATATTTTTTCATTTAATTTTAGAACATTTATGCTAATGCTCTTAAATTTTTATACTTTTCATTTAAGGTATTGTGCTAGAGACATACATAATATCTTGGAAAATCTTAGTCCAGGTTGATAATTCAAGTTTATTTTTGAGATAATGATAATTTTGAGATAAAATAATGAATCATCAATATAAGAATTAATTTTCCTCACTTTGGGTACTGAATAGAGAGGACAGATTCTCTGAAGATCCAGTGAGTCTTCAACTGGATTTTACTTACACTTGATCTTAAAGTTTTTTTTTTCAGAATGCTGATGGTTATCCAATCTGGGCCATGAGAATTTGAGGATTAATTATATTCGTTCTATTTTCATAAACTGTCGTAACAACTTGAAAAAAACTTTTAAACTTTTCTTAAATTCCAACTAACAGGATGGTTCTATTCAGATCAGTTTGGTCCTCAGGAAGTCCGTGATTCCCTATCAGTGACTTACCTACTGCGTGGTAATAAGGCGTAAGAACAGAGGCTTTTACAAAATTGGGTCCTCCTAGTACCTCTGCTAGAAGTTTATAAATCTGCTTCTGTGCTCCATTCATGCTGCCAATATCTTTATGAAAATAAAAAGTCCATTTATGTTAAGCAGATTTTAAATGACCACCCCAATTCTACAAACTGGAAAATAAAGAGTATTTTCAATACTACCGTAAGAACGTCAGTGTAATAACACTAAATTAAATATGAGTTCTTGCTTTCAAACAAAAGGTCTCGCATCCCAATTAAGAAATTATTTCACCTGCAACATCTCACCTAAAACACGAATAGCTGATGGCCCTCTTGGAAACTCTAGTGCCATGCCAAGATTCAACACTAATAAAATGTCCTACCTAAAATTCCACTTTATAATTAAATTTCACTATCTCACAAGGAGAAAACTCAAAACCTTTATTATACTGTTGTTGACAGAGGCGGTCATGAAACCACGGAATCTGAAACTCGGGGCACTCCAAGCAGACAGCTCTATTCAACTCCATAAGACGAAGCTGGACCCTGCTATTCAGAGATGAAGTTAAAACTGAAATAAAAGACAAAATACCAATGGATTTGATAGTTCAGGCCTATCAAAAGACAACTCATTTTTTCACATCATTTATCTCCACTATTAGAGATACATTTATTCTCATATTATATAAAATCACTTCATTTCTACACAAATACTTTATATTTTAGAATTATTACATTCAGTAACATGGTCAGGACCAATTTCTATACTGTTTTCATTAATTGTTCATTTTAAAACTACTTTTATTTTAAGACAGGGCTTCATCATGCAGTCTAGGCTGCCCTTGAATTCGCTATGTAGCCCAGGCTGGCTTCTAACTTGCAGCAATCCTCCTGCCTCAGTACTGGGATCACAGGCATGAACCACCATGCTTGGCTGGAACTACATTTTAAAATATACCACCAAAGAATTTTCACTGACCTAATATTTTATATTTAGGACTTTATCCTGTGGTGTAATAAGATAGTGATGTATGAAAGATTTTTGCTTTCTTTTTTTGTTTTCTATAATCCAATGGTGTTACTTTTACTGTTTAAAAACATTTACATTCAAAGTTACGAGATATGCAGGAAAGGGAGAAGAGAGAAAAGGAGAGGAGAGGAGAGGAGAGGAGAGGAAAGGAAGAGGAGAGGAAAGGAAAGCAAAGCAGAGCAAGCAGGGCCCAGCGGTGTACTCTAATAATTCTAGCACTCAGGAGGCTGAGGCAGGAGGATCACTGAGTTCAAGGCCAGCCTGTGTTAGAGTGAGACCCCATCTCAAAACACACAAACAGGAAGGGAAGGGGAGGGGAGGAAGAATTACCCTAAAACATTAAAAGTAGTTTTAGGCTAAGAATGTATCTCACTGGCAGAGCACTCACCTACCTATCATGTGTGCGGCCCTGGATTCAATCCCCAGTACCAATCAATCAACGTAGTAGTTTTACTTGGTGTTAAAATGATGAGTACTTTTATTTACGGTTTTTTGAGACAAGGTCTCACCATGTAGTCCACCGCTGGCCTTTACCTGGACAAGTAGTCAGGATATGTAGTCCCTTGAGCTTGCAATTCTCCTGCTCCGTCTCCTAAGTGCTGCAATTACAGGCAGTTGCCATAAACACGTGCCTTTCACTTTTATATTTTTATATGCTTTCCAAATTTTTTTCAATAATCATGAAAAAATTTTTTGATGGTACTGAGGATCAAACCCAGAGCCTCACATGTTAGGAAAGTGCCCTGTCCCTGAGCTACAACCCTAACCATCATGAAATAATTTTATTAAGAGAAATGTTACTAACACTCCAGTACGAACTGGGCATGGTTGCACATGGCTATACTCTTAGCACTCTGGGAGGGTGAGATAAGAGGATTACAAATTTGGGAACAGTTTGGGCAACTTAGGGGCTTAGGCAGACCCTGTTTCAAACTACAGAAAAACAGAAAAGGGCTGGCAATATAGCTTCATGTGAAGGCCTTGAGTTTAATCCCAAGGACAAGGACGAAGAAAAGCTTCAGTAGGGGTAGAGCTGAAACTGGATATAAAATACAAGTGATATTTGAATTTATACATACTTTCAAGTTGACAGTCTAATTTGGCTAAGAACTGGATGTTAAAAATTGCCTTCAGCAGGTCTTCTGGAAAATATTCAAGTGTGGCCAAAGAGAAACCAAGAAACACTAATGTAAGAGGATCCAATGTACCTGAAAGAAAATGAAGATTGAAATAAAATTAGGATGTACAACTGCCCTACATATACATAAATCATTTATCCAGATAAAGTTCAGATTTTAAAAAATGATAAACAGACAAAACTAATCCGCCCTGCCTATGAGTCAGGACAGGGGTGAAGTGGTCACCTTTGGGTGTGGTAGAGTAAGAGAGAGGACAAAAGTAGGACACCTTGGCAATGTTCTGTTTCTTGATCCTGGTACTGACTCCCTGAGTGATTCAATTTGTGAAAATTCAAACTATCACACTATGGTTAAATGAATGTTACTGCTATTATTATGTTTAACTGTAGTTTTAAGCACTGCCTTGAGAAGAGAGAATTCAAAAGGAAAAGGAAGGTGGTATATGCAAAAGGAGAAGGGCTCCAGGTTTCTGCTTGGTTACCACGACAGTGCTCTGCATGTCTCAGGTTCTGTTCTGAGGACTGGGTCTGATTCACTGAAACTTCATTCCTGCACACAGTAGCAGTGGGTCTTTCCTCTACTTTCTAAGTCAGCACAGGAAGTCACAGAGTTACAAGGGGGTGGGAGGTTCACTCCGTCCACCACCCAGGGTAGGTCTCTAGGGACTCAGACTCCAGGCTGAGTTCACACCGAGGCTCAGATTTTGCCCCGGCGACTCCCTTCCGGTCACCCGCAGCACGGCAGATGTCCTGGGCTTGAGGACACTTTTGAGCTGGGGGAGGGGCTAGCTAAAATGTCCCACTGGTATGAATTTTTTTTTTGTACCAGGGATAGAACTCAGGACCTTGTACTTGGGAGACAAGCACAGTGCCACTGAGCTAAATCTTTGCCCTGCCATGAATATTTTATAAAGAACAGAAAAAAAAATTAAATCTTTCCCTTTGAATTTTTTTGCTGAATTTATTTGTTTGTTTATTTTGGTTTTTTGAGACACAGTCTTGTTATGCAGTGCAGGCTGGCCTTGAACCCACTATGTAGCCTAAGCTGCCCTCAAACTCCCAGCAAACCTCTTGCCTCGGCCTCCTAAGGTGTGTGCCACCACACCCGGCCTGAATTTATTTAATAAAGTAAGGCCAAGTCACAAATGAGTAATGATCTCCACCATAACTGCTAGCACACCTAGTAATATAGTAATGATCTTCACCAACAAAACTATTTCATCAAAACTAACCTATATTCAATAAGGTGATTATTACTCCATCGGTTATTTAGTTTTACCTATAAGGGTCTCTAAGAATTTTTCAAACATTAAGTTATAAAAAAAACTAAAGGTGATGCTGGGTGTTGTGGTGAATATCTGTAATAGCAGCACTCTGGAGGCTGAGGCAGAGGCAGGAGGATTGCCATGAGTTCGAGGCCATACTGGGCTACAGAGTGAGTTCAGAGTGGGCCTGAACTACAAATCAAGACCCTGCCTCTAATCCTAGCACTTGGGAGGCCGAGGCAGGAGGATCAGAAGTATGAGACCAGCCTGAGTAATTTAGCAAGACTCTTATCTCAAAAAAAAAACAAACAAAACAAACAAATAGGGCCGGGGATTTAGCTCAGTGGTTCAGTGGCCTGCCTCGCAAGCACAAGGATCCGAGTTCCATCCCCGGTACCAAAAACAAACAAACAAACACATAACCAGGGCTGGGGATTTAGCTCAGTGGTACAAGGCCTGCCTGGCAAGCACAAGCTCCTGACTTGGATACCTGGTACCAAAAAAAGAAAGAAAGAAAGAAAGTTATACAGCATCACAAACAATGTATTTTTTTGCTGAAAATGTTTACTTTGAACTTACTCAAGCTTCTTTACCCAATTTCTAGTTCACCAGAAATGCAGGCAATGCAAGAACAAGTTAAATCAACCAGACAAATCCATGATATGATATAATCTATAATAAATAACCAATCTCTAGTATTAAAAAAATACTAGGGGAAAAATGGGGAAAAGCAACATAACTACTGGTTGTTTTTAAGAAGTCAGAAAAGATAATTTGAGGACAACTGGGAAACTGACTATGGTCTAGGGAGGAATTGTACCTGTTCATTTTCTTAGGTATAATCCTAGTGTGGTATGGTGATTGTAGAAGACAATGTCCTTATAATCTGACAATTACAGGTAACAAAGTGTATGAACTCAGCAAATGTGGCAAATGTAACTGTTATTCAAGTGAGACTATGGGTAATAACATATGTGTGTTTGTCACACTGCTAATTTTTTATGTATATTTGAACACCGATTAACAAAAAGTTAGAAAAACCAAAAATCTTGCTCCCAAAAGTCAAAGCCTAATTTAAAAAAAGAGAAAGAAAAATACAGACTATGAGAGACAAACAGGTAACAACCAAAAGCAACATGCGAATTTTGACTGGAATCACTCTGAAAAGTATTTTGGAAACAACTAGGTAGATTTACACATGAGCTGTAGATGAGATATTTAGAGATGAAAAGTTTTTTAGGTGTGCTACCAAATGTGATGCTACAGGAGAGTGTCCTTATTCTTAGCAGCTGTATGCTATAGTAATTGCGGGGTGAAGGCTCACAATTCCTACCAGGCACTTTGCGATGGCCCAGAAAAACAGTGAGCGAGAGAGGCAAAGAGATAAAGCACATACGACAAAATAGTAATATTACTGTATCTCCAGAGTGAGCACACAGGTGTTCCCTGTTCAATTCTTTCAATCTTTCATATAAGTTAGACATTTTCTGTAAAAGAGAAGTTCCATAAATAAATGCAAAATATCTTTTTAAATGTATAGAATCCATGGCTGTCTTAGTCATTTTCTCATTGCTGAGACACAATACTCAACACTCAAACAAGAGGAGGAGAGGTTAACTCTGGCTTATGTTTCAGTCCATAGTCAGCTGGCCCCACGGCAGAATGAAATGGCAGAGGGGTCTGGCAAAGAAGAGGCTGTACAGGTCTTCGCAGCCAGGAAGCAGAGAGTGAAGGGAGAAGTCAGGAATGGAGATACATCTTCTAGGTCACACCCCCAGTGACCCACCTCTTTCAAGCAGACCCCACCTCCTAACAGCAAGCCTGCTGCTATAAGCCTCCACAATCCTACCTTCTTCCAGTAGTCTGATCTGAGCTCATGAAGCTCTAGGGGGAAATTCAGATATAAAACCATGACAATGGCTGTTATGGTTACCCTACGATGAGGGACCTCTTTTAGCTCAGACTTAGCTTAGTATCCTACTAATGAGTAGGATCTACTAATTCAGTACATTACCCAACAACACACCTACCTAAGTGAGAATGAAGGCACTGCATGCACGTTCCAAGAAATTCATCCTTTTGAGGTGGATCATAGTTCAAGATGCTGAATGGAAGAATAATACCAAGAATTGAAAAAGGATGGATCTGTATAAAGGAAACAAAGATTTTTATAGTTCAAATGTTAATAAAAATAAAACTAAGTTTCAGCCTAATTATGATTTTAGATGAAAATCTTCTCTAACATTATAAATGATAACTGAATCACCCCACTTATTAATTATTCCATCCTGCTATAATTTATTCAACCCTGTGACTAATTATTAGTAACTCTCATCATAGTGAGTTCAAGGCCAGGCTGAACTATATAGGAAGACCCTATCTCACAGGGCCGTGGATTTAGCTCAGTGGTTCCACCACCTGCCTTGAAAACGCAAGGTCAGAATTTGATCCCTGGAACCAAAAAATAAAATAAAATAAAATAAAATTAAGGCTGGGGATTTAGCTCAGAGGAACTGTGCCTGCCTTGCAGGCATAAGGTCCTGAGTTCAATTCCCAATTGAAAAAAAAAAAAATTAAGACCCTATCTCACAAAATAAAAAATAAAAGTGTCACTGGAAAAAAGTCAGATAATCTACAAATTGATTTTTGTTAAATGAAAAATCCTTAATTTCTAAATATTACTCATGAATTTAGGAAATTAAATATCACTTATTTCCATGACATCAGTATTTCTGAGTAATCATACAATGTAAAGTTTCTCAATTTGTAATCATCAATATTCACTTTCATTTAGTCATCATTTCAGTATTCACTCACTAATTCAATACTTTTTAGTCATCATTTCATTATTCACTCACTAATTCAATACTTTTTATTTTTGTGTACCAGAAATCAAACTCAGGACCTTTTGCTTTCGAGGCAGACAGCGGAACCACTGAGCTAAATCCCCACTTTTATTTTCATTTGTGAGAAATACTACCCCTCCAAGTAAAGGTCTTATCCTGATAGCCATGTAATAATGATTTTCTAAGTGGGCTGCTCCTCATATAATCCATAAAGTAATATTTTACGTTAGTTCCAGAAATAAATCAGCAAAACACATTGCCAATTTAAGAAGGGTAATGTAAGTACATATCTTATCATTTTCTAAAGTCTCATGTATATCTTGCAACTTTAAGTATAAATATTTTTAAACAGTAAAAGTAACAGCATTGGATTATAAAAAAACAAGAAAAAAGAAAGCAAAAATCATTCCTATACTACTACACCTCCTATTACCATTAGTGCCTCCTTCTTAGTCAAAGAATTCTGACTCCTGATCATGACAAGGTTACACAGAAGTGAGAGATACCTGCTGACCTAGTCAGTCATGCCTGCAGGGCTGGAGGAAGAAAGCAGCTGTATGGGAAGGACAATTGCTGAACCAGAAACCAGAGCTTAATTTTTAAACTTCAAATTCTTATCCACATTCTCAAAAGTACTTATGATAAAAATTATGCCTGTAGAAGTTGGAAACTATATAAAACTAATATGTAAAAGAAAAATTATAAAGTAAATAATGGATAACAGTAACATGTAACATTTAAATTTTACCTTTTCAATCTGCTGAACAGCCACTGCCGCTATCCTATCAAGTATGGAAGTATTGAGGTAGTGAGTTCTAGAAATAAAAAATCCCACCCTTGCAATGTTTGTGTAATTAATTTCATCCATCAAATGCTGCAAAGCAGAAATTGTTTCTTCCAGAACTGATTCATGAAACCAGTCTCCTTTTAAAAATTTAATTTGCTCCAATAAAAGATCCAAATTGTTGCTCTGTTGTAAACTCTGATGACTGTAGTGATCTAGTTTTTGAAGTAGTTTCAGTTGTTTCTCAGTAATTTTATCCACATACACTTGATCATAGTGAATCCATCTTAAAACAGATGTGGCGAAATCATTCAGGTTATTGAAGTCACACTGGGGTAAAAATGTTTCAATTTGGGACATCACAGCTTCGTCCAGGCGGGAAGGGAGCATAGAAAGAGCACAAACCAGGGTGACAGTCTCACTCAGTCGGACACTAACTTTCAAGTGACTAGGAAGCAAGCAGCAAAAAGGAAAAAAAAAAACCAAAAAACTAATATACCAACAACAAAATAAATATATATTAAAATGTGACTATCATTACCCTTACAATTAGTAGGTGAGATACTCTGAAAATGCCATTTAAGAAGATGTAGATAAAATCAACGATGACAGGTCCTAAAGGGTTACTAAAGAAAGCCTAAGATGTCCTAAAACACACTTAAAACAGAATTTTCTTCCCCTAAATAAAACCATAGTCCCTAGCTAACAATGTGTCACTGTTAGAACAATGTTTCCAGTGCTGTTGCTGGAGCCAGAACTTGGGTTCAATTTTTGATCTGACCTACCAGAAGCTAATACAACCTAGTACAGACCCTGGCAGGCCCAGTGATTACTAAATGTTGTTTCCCTTCCCATGTCTAGGAAGCCCAATCTTACATACACACACACACACACACACACACACACACACACACACACACACCATACAAGTGAGCCTGGTATCTATTCTTCCTTTCCCAAATCCTCATGTAACATAGGCGTGGTGGCATATGCCTGTAATCCCAGCACTTGGGAGGCTGGGGCAGACTTGTCACTAGTCGGAGGCCAGCCTAGACTACACAGTGAGTTCAAAGCCAGCCTGGACTATATGGTGAGACCCTGTCTCAAAAAAAAAACCCAAAAACAAAAACCAAAACCAAATTCCCATGTAATAGTCCTACCACCAGGATAGCAATAGTCAAACCACAATTTAAAAACTAGGAGCTTTTAAGGAATCTTTATAAGTAGTAGAAAAAATACTCCAATTTAGTGCTGGGGATTTAGCTCAGTGGTTCCACCACCTGTAAGCACAAGGACCGGAGTTCGATCCCCAGTACAAAAACAAACAAACAAACACACACAAAAAAACCCTAAGAATAATCCAATTTAAAATAAAATTAGCCTGGTGTGGTATCATACACTCGTATTCCCAGCACTCTAGGAAGCTGAGTCAGGAGGATTATAAATTCAAGCCCAACCTGGGCAATTTAGGACCTAGCAATTTAGGACCTAAGACCCTGTCTCAGAATAAGAAATGGCTGGGGAAGGACCAGGGATTTAGCTCAGTGGTTCCGCTGCCTGCCTTGCAGGAGCAAGGTCCCAAGCCTGATCCCTGGTACCAAAAAAAAAAAGTAAATGAAATGGCTGGGGATGTAGCTCAGTGCAAAGGCCCTGGGTTCATTCCTCAGTACTGAAAAACAAGAAGCGAGGCTGGGCATTGTGATACATGCCTATAATCCTAGCACTTGAGGCTGAGGCAGGAGAATTACCATAAGTTTGAGGCCAGCCTGGGCTATATGTAGCAAGCTCAAGGCCAGCCTAAACTACATAAAGAGACCTTGTCTCAAAAAAAAAAAAAAATTCAATGCTAGAAGGACGCATTGATATAGGCATTCTCATTTTCTATTAGAAAACTTATAAGGCTGTAATTTTTCTGTAAAGTAATTAAGCAGTATGATACAAATACTTTATTTATTTTTACAAATACTTTTAACATGGAGAAGCCTTATCTAGGAAACAAATCTAGGGAAAAATCTAAACTACACACAGTCCGGACACAAAAATAAATCATACTATATGATTCCATTTATATAAACATAAAGGCATCCAGGTGTGGTGGTGCACACCTATAATTCCAGCTACTTGGGCAGCTAAGGCAGGAGGATTACAAGTTCAAGCCAGTGTGGGCAACTGAGAAACTGTCTCAAAAGAAAACAAAAGGATATAACTCCGCATATTGTGGGTTCGATTCCAAGGTCTGAAAAATCAATAAATAAAGTACCAGGACAAACCAATCCATAGTTTGAAGTAGAAATAGCAGTTAACCATAAGGATAGGACAAAGTAATGAGGACAGAAGATGTACACTTTACGGAGATTATACTTTTTTAAGTTAAAAAAACAGTAACAGGATATGGTGGTGCAAAATGTAGTAGTGGAAAATGGAGGGGGAAATATCAATATGGTTTGATCCTCATTTAATCTCAGACATTATTTTAGTCTTTTGTTCTTTTTTTCACTTTTTTTGGAGGGAAGGGTGCTGTGGATTGAACCCAAAGTGTGAAGGATGATATGTGAGTACTCTACCACTAAGCTATATCCTCAGCCCCATTCTAATTTTTTTTAAGATAGGTTCTTTTTATATATTCTAGGTGGGCCTTGAACTCACTATGTAGTCTAGACGGAGCTTGAATTTGTAATCCTCCTGACTCAGCCTCCCTGCTGCTGGAATTATAGGCATGTGTCACCACATTCAGCCCATTCTAAATTTTTTTTTTATTTTTTAATTTTTTTATCAGCTTTAATTGAGTTTATTGGTACATTTTAGGGATACAGTACAGTTACATTCATCACTGGGATCTTGTACCTCTACATGACAAGTCTTGATTCTCATTTTTTCCCCTTACCCCCGCCCTCCCATTCTAATTTTTAAAATAATAAATTTCATGGACAATTTCATTTTAGCCTAAGTCAATAAAAAATGGAATAACTTCTCAGTAAAAATAAAATGTTATATCCTTAGAAAAGAAAATGATTTTACATTAAAAGGAAAAATTCTATATGAAATTTCGTTTTCACTAACATCTCCATTATAAAGTATTGTAAAAGCTAACTAATTAAGCTGGGTGCAATGACACATGCTTGTCATGCCAGCTACTCAGGAGGCAGAGGCAGAGGTATCACAAGGTGAAGGCCAGCCTGGGCAGCACAGCAAGACTGTGCCCCCCACCCCCACCCCCAAAAGAAAGTTAATTAAAAAAAAGGAAAGTGAACAAGACTGAAGTGCTCTAATTATGAACTTCTAAATGGGAGTTTAGTCTTTCATAGCAGCATCAATCTTTTTATTGTTACTCTGTTGCTGCAGGAAAGAAAAGCCTGGTTATTCGTTTGTTTACTGCCTTCCTCCCACAGGGAATTCAGTTACCCTACAGGCTCCATTTCCAATTTCAACAGAGAGCAAGCAGACACTGGAAGAATGGACTGGGAGAGAGGTGAGTATCCTAACATTCTTAAAGGTTTGATGTTGCAGGGCCAGGGATTTAGCTCAACGGTTTGGTGGCCTGCCTTGCAAGCGCAAGGACCCATTCAATCCCCGGTACCAAAAAAAAAAAAAAAAAGGTTTGATGTTGTTATTGTTTTATTTTATGAAGTTGTGGAGCTAAGGATTGAAACCGGGATATCAAGCAGGCTAAACAAGTACTCTACCACTCAGCCTTAACCCTCAATATTTTTAATAAGTTACCTCATTTTGACTCCAAAAGTTCCAGCAATTCTGCATATCATTAAACAGAACAAATACTGCAGCCAGATTATAAAATGAAACACTAAGTGAACACTTCTTTTTTTAAGAATCTTACCTAAATAGTAATTCTCTGAGTTTCATGAAAACCTCTTTACTTTGAAAATGTAGAAAAATTAATGCTTGAGTTATCCTCAATAGCTCCATCGGTCTATAGTTTTCCAAATTTTTATGCAGAACTGAAGCAATTCTAAAACAGAATGATAAGACATATATTATAACAAGCCCATATACTTATTTATCAAATGTTAACTGTGTAGCTTTCATGCCAGATAACGTTCTATGTTAGAGAAATAACAGTAAATGAGGCAAGGTTTTCACTTCTTACAAAACTGTCTCAAGATTGAACAGAAATGTAAATAATTGAAATAAAATGAAATAGGATCAATGAAGTATGAATGAAATAATATTCAATTATAATATCAAGGACAGAGATATATAGTTCTACTCTCAAAATTTAAAAAAATTTATGGGCCGGGACCCAGTACCAAAAAGAAAAAAAATTTTTTAAATGTAAAGCTCATAAAACAGACATCAAATACTACTTCGTCCTCCCTCTGAAATTTACCAAAACAATTAACAAAACTGATTTAATTTTCTTCCTTTAATCGACTGGACTGCAAATGGAGATGCTTAAAAGGAGTAGGATCCCCAGCACAGCAGATGTGATATACAAATGAGAAATAGAAAAAAAAAAAAAAAAACCAAACATTACCAACACAGGAAACCATCCAACTTCAAGAAATGAATGGAGTATTGAAGACAACCAAAAGAAAAATACAATGACAGGAACAAGTCCACATCTTTCAATAATAACTCTGAATGTAAATGGTTTTAATTCACTAATTAAAAGACACAGACTGAGGGAATGGATTAAAAAGTTAGACCCAACAATATACTGTCTACAAAAAAACTCATATCATTTGTAAAGACATATACAAACTCAAAATAAAAGAATAGAAAACTGTACTCTAAGCAAATGGAATACAAAAGCAAACAGAAGTAGCAAGAATACTTATATCCCACAGAATAGACTTTAAGACAAACAGTCAATGAAAAAAGGAGGTCACTATATATTGATCAAAGGAACAATTCATCAAGATATAAATAATAAATTTATATGCACAAGGTCCCAAGTTTCATCCTCAGTACAAAAAAAAAAAAAATTTATATGCACTAAATGTCAGAGTATCTAATTTTAAAATCAAACACTGCTTGACATGAATGGGGAGATGGGCCCCAATACAATCTGGAGGACTTCTATCCCATTCTCATCAATAAATAGACCACAAAGACCAAAAAAACTCAACAAAGAAAAAAACCTAAAGACCACACCAAAAGACTATTATGAACTCGGTAAAGTAGTAGGAAACAAAATCAATATATATCAATTACTAGTGTTTCTATACATCAACAATGAGATTTAAAAAGAAATGGTCATATAAAAAAGCATTGGGAAGAGACAGTAAGAAGTTGGTGGAAATGGGACCGAAGCAATATTAAAATGAAGGGACATAGATAATGAGAAATTAAGCATATATATAATTCAATTATATTTTTTCTTAAATCTCAAGTTAACAATAAAGCCAACATGCAACATTATGCTTCAAGATAGTATTTTGATGTTTCTGCTCTCCAGAAACTTTCCTTTTGAAGAAAAGGGTTTATGGCACTTTCAATGATGATCATGCTCTGCCTGAGCATAACAGCAGCAAATGACTGAAAGGTACCATAGGCTACATGGCCTTCTCACGATAGCCCGCCCTGCCCTGTTTTCTCCAGGGTTCTTTTATCTTGCTTTTTCCCCTTTTAATGGCCCAAGCTCCCTCTGCAGAGCCAGTGTCTCCCTCAGTTTTCAAATAAACTCTGCTACCATTAAAAAAAGACATCATAAATAATTTTATCTCTATAATAGTAAAAGCAAATTAGACCATGAAAATCACGACTTAATTGTTCAGTCCTTAATTTTTCAAAACAACCCTTTTTGCAGTGCAGTGGACAAAACCCTGGGCATGGCACATGCTAGGCAAGCATTCTACCACTGAGCTATAATGCTAGCCCTAACACAACAATTACAGGGAAAAAACTTTTACTAAGAAATTAGCTACTTATAGACAACAACTAAATTTAACACCACGAATTTTAGGAAAGACTACTTTGTAATCAACTGTGAATTTCTGCTTTCCATTTCTTCCATTGCTCTCACCACTGCCAGGGCTTGCTGGCTGGTCAGTTCTTCCGACATCAGTAATATAGTTGACTGAAGTCTAGAAGCAAAGAAAAATAATTTTATATCAAAAAACTGAAAATTAGTTTGTAAATTTTTCAAAACAACAGCTCCCTGCTATCAAGTAGAGAAGACACAGAGAAAAAGAGGATCTAGCATGTAATTCCAATTTTCTCCCCACATACTTAGGTATAACATATTAATTTTAAAAATATATATTTTTGGCCAGGGATTTAGCTCAGTGGCATTGTGGCCTGCCTTGCAAGTGCAAGGTCCTGAGTTTGATCCTGAACACACACACACACACACACCCCTACATATAAATAAGGAAAGGCAAAATGGGAATAATTATTAAGCAGTGGTACTAAAGTAGTGACAAAATATAGTAACAAATTTAATTCTTCTGGATTTCTTGATAAGTCTCAAAAATACAAAAAGAGCCAGGCTTGGTGGCCCATGCCTGTAATCCCAGCACTCTGGAGACTGAGGCAGGAGGATCACTGTGAGTTCGAGACCAGCCTGGGCTACACAGTGAGTTTCCAGGTCAGTCTTAACTACATAGCGAGACCCTGTCTCAAAAAACCAAAATAACTAACTAAATAAATAAATACATAAATAAATTCTGTTGTTTTATCTAGATACAATCTCTTTTAAGATGTACTCCTAAGTATTTTCATGTAACTCAAAGGACTCTTAAAATTAAAACTTCTCTATAAAGTCTTTCCTAACAGAGTAATGATGCAGATTCCTCTGCTGCACAAGCTTCCAGAAGCCCTGCTTAATGGAATCTACTAGCCTTGGTTATCGCTAAGGACTACTATAATTATGTACCAGTCATACTAATTTTATGTATCAGTGTAATGTTTGTTCATTTTTACATTTGAAGTATTTCTATCTATATCAATAGCTGGCAAAACTGGAAATTCTTAAAAGAGATGAGCCAGACAAATCCACTCAAACAATGTGGGGACAGATGCCACTACGCGCGAGTACTCTGGCAATGAATGTGATGAAGACAGCAAAATATAAAATGGGCCATGATTAGGGCTACTATCATTCTAAATATTCCACACATTCAAGCTGGGAGGGAGAGGGCCTAGGAAGAGAGAATAAAGGAACATAAATTGTGTTCTTTTTCTGTGTTGGTCCAGTACATTGGATTTCTTGGTCAACTTTAGAACATACCAGCAGACTAAAGGTAGGAGATATAAATAAGAATAACCAGAAAAAGCACCAAGGAGCACAGCATGCTAGCTTACGTCCCCTTTAACAGTCTAGGGAAGTCATTCCTGTGCCTCCCAGGGATCAGGGAGATTTAGCTTGAAGGTTCTATGTATTCCAAACAAGAAAAACAAAGCATTTTAAGCTGAACTTACTGTTCCTTTTCTTGAGGTCCTGCCATTGGTCCCAATATAACAAACAATTTCACAAAGTTGGCGGGGTGAACAAACAAAGGAGTCATCTCAGTGAGCCTCTCCTTAGCCATTGAAATAAATGCAAAACTATAGAATTGTAGAAACCGATATACAGCAAGTATGTTACCGATGAAATCCAAGTCAAGGTACTTCATATTGCTTAAAAACACTTTATCACATCGCTCTAATAGTGGAAAATGACTACATTTAACTTTTCTAAGAAACTGTACTATTTTTCTTGCAGTGTTGACCTGAGAAGAATCTATGGTGTCAAAAAGAAGTTCTGTTTTCTTCACTAATTTTTCTTGAAAACCTTGTGATATTAAAGAAGATATGTTGATCATCAAGACAGACAAAGACCTGAAGAAGGAAAAAGACACAAAGATTTTTATATTACTGAAAAAAATGACCTATTCTAAAACTAAATAAATAGATATAGAAAAAACATGGTGAAAAGATTACTTATTTTATATTATTTAATATAAGATTTTTCTTTCTCTCTCTTTTTTTTAGACAGGATGTCACTATGTAGTCTAGGCTGGCTTCAAACTTATTATGTAGCCCAGGCTGGCCTTGAACTTGAACTTGTGGTAAAATTCTCCTGCCTCAGCCTCCCCAGTGCTGGGATTATAGGTATATACGATCACACCCAGCACAGGTATGTGCCACCTAATAATACCTTGGTGAATGATTTCACATGTTTTAGTGTTGCATGATATACTGGTATTTATACAACAGTAAGATAGTACTGAACATGGAGTGGCATTGAACATTTCTTCACTTAATAAAGACTTACAGACTATCAGGCACTTTTCTAGGCACTACGAAGGACATCAAAATTACTAACATCCTATTACTAGTTAATGGGACCCTGAGAATTTTATCTAGGTTTTTGGTCTCCTAAACAAAGTCTTGGAGAAGACACAGAAAAGGCAGCAAAGGTGTGTGTTTATTGAAGGTGGAAAACAGTGGGCACTGCAGAGAGAATGGGCCAGTGAACAGACTCACTGTTCCTTGTCCAAAAGGACAAGGGAAGGGGGTCTCTCGAATCTGGAATTCTTGGATTGGTTTTTCTCTCACACAGATAAGGCATTGGGACAGTTGTCACAACAAAAACTCACCTAGGGGCTGGGGACTTAGCTCAGCGGTGCTGCAGTCTGCCTCGCAAGCACAAGGTCCTGAGTTCAATCCCCAGTACCAAAAAAAAAAACAAAAACAAAAAAAAATGCCCCCAAAAACAAAAACTCACCTAGCCTGGCACTAGATTTAAACTGTCCTGCTGAAGACTCACTTGGTTTTGTGCTCTGTAGAAATTAACAACTGAAAATAGCACTTTTCTGATTGGTTCTGTTATGTGCAATGCTCAGGAACTAGTTACCCTGCATCCTGTGTTTTGTGAATGTGCCCTGGATCTCCATGACTTTAATAGACTGCCAAGTTCTGCCACCAGTTTTGTCCTAGCCCTAATTCCCACCTCAGGTCTGTGTTTTCAACAGGCGATTTTATATAGTAGTTTACAAAACCCAAAAAACTACATATACAAGGCTGGATAATAATAAACAAGTATACAAACTGGAAAAAAACAAAGTAAATTCTTGGGGATCATAATGAGGCAGGAGAATGGCATGGCCTGGGCATTTCAGAAAGACTTTGCCTGAACACACAAAACCTTAGTTTCCTATTCAGCAAATGAAGGTATAAATGCTTATCTCAAAAGGATGCTTGGAGATTAAACTGCACACGTTTACATTCAAATGTTTGCCCTTTTTCTTCTGTCTCTCTCGCAGACCTAGGAGACCAATGTCTTCTGCCTGCACATATGATAATGTAGCAAATGGGTCAGGGAGATAGAGCATGTTGGGCAAGTGTTCTGTCAGTGAACTAAGCCCTGGATTCCATCACTGGCACCAAAACAAAAAAAAAAAAAAAAAAAAAAGGAGGAGGAGGAAAACAATGTCACAGGCAAATTTATTAGCCTATAAGATAAAAATCTCCAAAGACCCTTCACATATCTCTATGAGACTGTGCTATACTTTAAGTTATCTGTAACTCCAATAACAATATTACAAAGCACATATTACTGTTTTATAAATAAGAGTAAATTAGCCTTAAATTGCAGAAATACAATTGGCAAATTTATTTCTGCATCTAGAGCCCAAAACCTTTCTACCATAATACAATCTCTAAATTAATTTACCTTAAGTCTTGTATAGAGTCCAACTTCCTATTTACAATATCAGCTATTTCCCCCATTAATGGACTGCAGTACAAATGTTGATCTGCTAGGCAAGCAGAAAATGTTGACAGCACATTAATATTAAACCTAGTAAAGGAAATACAGGTTATTAGTACTTTCAATTAAAACTGTAACAATATAAAGAGCAACAACCAAAATTATTAATATCAATTTCTGTCAAATTTTTAATACTGATTATTAGAAGAGTAACAAAGGACAAAGGGAAAATTACTCAAAATTATTTGAATCATTTACTTATAATTTTAAGGTGACAAAATTTGAAAATAACCACTCTATAAAATTCTGTTGAAAACTTCAGCCTGTGTATCACACATAGAACCCGGCCCTGGCCAACTCCACACCAGTGGATTTTATTCACTGGCCGTGGCCATCTACCAACTCCAAGTGCACTCTGTGTTTTGTCTCCCTTTGGCAGCCTATATGTCCATCAACAGAAGAATAAAAAAAAAATGTGCTATTTATACACAATGGAATAACTACGTCCTCGACTTACAAACATTTGAGTTGCAAACTTTCACAGATATGAACAGACTTCACACTACGAAGACTCAGAGATACGAACTAACTGTGGGAGCAGCTCACGGGTCTACCGAACAGTCACAGATGTGCTGCTGTGCACTTACTGTACAATCAGAGCCCAGTATGTGTGGAAGCAAGAGGAAAAGCAGTGGTGACATGGAGGGGACTGCTAGGAAGCACAAAGCAATGACCATGGAAACCAAAGTGAAAATAAGTGAGAGACTGGACTGAGGTGAAAGATGGTAGATGCCACTCGTTCTTATAACATCAATCATTCAACCTCTGGTATAATTCTAAAGAACAAGGACAAGATCATGGAACATGTGAAGTCTTCTGTGCCAATGAAGTCAACAATAATATCCAGAGCATGGTAAAGTGACAGAGATGGAGAAACTTCTCAGTGTGTGGATGGAGGATCAGCATTAGCATCGAGTCCCACTCAGCTTAATGCTTATTCAAGAAAAACCTAAACACCTGTTTGAAGATGTGAAGAAAAACATTGGGTGAGTAGGGTGTATCTTTCACTGCCAGCCATGGATGGTTTAACAGAGGCAAGGCTAGAGCCAACCTTCACCATGTAAAAGTAAGTGGTGAAGCTATGAGTGCCGATACTATAGTTGCTCAACAATTTCCAGAAGTACTTAGAGAAATTATTGATGAAGGCACTTATTTACCCAAACAGGTTATTTGTTTTTTTTTTTTTCCTTTGGGTACCAGGATCAAACTTGGACTCTGCATTTGTGAAACAGGCAGCGGAACCACTGAGCTAAATCCCCAGCTACCCAAACAGGTTTTGAACGTCGATGAGACAGGACTGTACTGGAAGAGGATGCCAGGACAAAGTTACCTCAGGAAAGAGGAGAATGTGATGTCAGCAAAAGACAGAATTATCTGTTTGGTGGCAATGCTTCCAACTACTGTAAGGTCTCTCTTAGCTTACCATTCAGAGAACTCAAGAGCACTCCAAAACTTAGCCAATGGCTCTCTATGTGTTATGTGGAAGAGTAGTTCCAAAGCCTGGATTACACGGGCCATTTTCCAGGACTGGTTTTTCCACCACTTTATCCCAGAGATAAATACTGTTTAGAGAAAGAGATCCCTTTCAACATTCTTTTGCTGCTTGACAATGCACTAGGTTAACCCTAATTCATGGATGACTTTCATCCCATCATCAAAGTAGTGTATCTGACACCAGACACTACAGTGCTCACCCAACCTGTGGATCAAGGAATTATTACAACTTCCAAGAAATATTATGTACATCACAGTTTTTGCCAGGCAGTGAAGACAACTGATGAAACAGGAACAATTCTGAAACAATTTGGGAAGGACTATAACATGTACAAGGCCATAAAAACATAAACTTTGCTTGGCATGAGGTTGTAGCTGTCACTGTGAAAGGTTTGGAAGAACCTCTGCCAACAGATTGTTTGTACAGTTCACAGACTTAAGAAGATGGCTAAGAAGTCAACACTTTAGTGACCCTTAGCAAGAAGCAGGAGCTAAATCTGCAAGGGAATGACTCCACTGAACTCCTGCTGTGCAACATGAGGAGGATCTGATGGGCCCAGTGAAAAGAGGAAGAGAGCCAAGAGAAAGATGGAACCGAGAGCCAGAGACACATGGTAGGAAATGGCCAGGGGATTTTCTTCACTCGAAGACGCCCTGTTAGTTTTCGAGGCACAGGACCCCAACATGGAACAATACACAAAGGTTACAGCAGCCATTCAGAATGCCATCCAGTGCTACAGTCATACATGGTGAGGAAAAAAAAGAGCTACTACTCAGACATCACAGGATGCATTTGGTTTTCTTATGCTTTTGTGTCAAAGGTATATAAGACTCATGGTATCATACTTATGAGAGAATTCGACTCCTGGATGTCTCTCAGAACAGAACTTGTTCCTAAATTGGGGCCTTACTATATTACTCTGCAATAAGGAAAGAAAAATGTGAGTCATGTGCAGGAAAAGGGATGCATCATGAGACCAAATGTTAAGTGAAATAAATCTGATTTACAGCTTAAATACCACATGGTTTCTCTTATAAGAAAGCTAAAAATATAAATAAATGGCAAAATAAAAGACAGAAAATAGACAATAAGGAGAAAGATCTTTTGCAATTGGGAAGTATGTACCAAGAGAGGGAGGCAGGGAGGAAAAGAAAAAAAATTGAGATGCTATGTACACATACCAACTACTTATGAGGAATGGAATCTTTATGAACTGCAAATACATACTAATAAAAAAAATAAAAATTGAAAAATAAACTTCAGAATTTGTCTATAGGAAAAATGACCTAATTTCTTAGTAAGTAAAGAGCAAGGCAAAAGAGAAGGAAAATTGTTAAGATTTTAATTGTCTTTCTTTTTTTTCACAGTGCAAGGGGAGGCAAACCTCGAAGTTTTAATTCATGACTCTCTTGCTTCAGCCTCCCACATGGTGGGATTACAAGCATAGACCACCACACCTATCTCAGGTGATTCTGCTTACACAGAAGTGATCACTATGTGATAATTCATCATCTGTATACTTATGATTCATGTAATATTCTACTGAATGCTTTTATTATATGTGCTACTAAAGTAAGCGCCCTTCTATAGAATGTTTACATAAGTTAGGTGTGGTGTTAAGAGCTTATATAATGTGTGTGTGTGTGTGTGTGTGTGTGTGTGTGTGTGTGT